TCCGGTCAAGGGCATGTACCTGGGTTGCAGGCATATCCCCAGTAGGAGATGTGCGGGAGGCATCTGATCGATGTTTCTCTCTCATCGATGTTTCTAACTCTCTATCTCTCTCCCTTCCTCTCTGTAAAAAATCAATAAAATATATTTTAAAAAAATAAATAAATAAATAATGAGATTTTTCGAACTGGGTGACATGAAACATTTTACAGTATTCCATTCTGGTTAAAAGCAGGGCACAGATATGTATGCACCTTAATCCCTAATGTGAAGTCTTCGGTGAAACAGACCAAAACATCTGCAGCTGTGCCATGGGCCCAGTAGGCCCCCAAGCACCAACCACCAGCAGGGTCCTCACTGAGCATCAGGAAAGAGCTCACACAAGCATGGGGGTACGGGGGCACAAACAAACATGGGACCAGGAGAGTGTGGCATTATGGGAAGGGGTTGCTCTATGGGTCTAAAGCTGCAGAGCTCAAGCCCTGGAAGAAAGACTTTTTCATCAAATTCAGGAGGCAGAGGCCATGTGAACCAACCCAGTGGTACAGACAAAGCCCTGCTGGGAAGGACCAGATGGCCACACAGTCCAGCTTGGCCCTGGCAGGAGCACAGAGAGGAGGGTACAGAGAGACCCTGCTTTCATAACTATTATTTTGTAAAATAGTTATTTGCTATATAACCTTTCAATTTTATTTTTAACAAAATTATAAATGTACATAATTAAAGTCAAAGAATTCCATAAAGCTTATGGTGAAAACAGTGTGGCTTCCGACAGGCATCTCTCTTGGTTCTTTTCTCTTCTTTTGGTATTTCTCTTCACATTTCTAATTCCCAGGTTCAGTTCACTTGTCTTGGCTTTACAGTCTGTGTCATCCACTAACCTCCTACTATGAACATGAGAATTAACCCTTAGAGTCACCCACGCACCTCTACCTGCTCAGGTCTGACCATCAGTCTTCAGTACCCACTCTCAGGACACTGTCAAGACATGCACGTGGGAGCTCTGGAACCTTATTCCTCCTGCTGCTTCATCCCCCTTCTTGTACTATGTAGGGGCGTCCTGGAGTTAATAAGGGCTTGCTGAGTGTCCTGGTACTCATGCCAATTTATCTTCAAACTCTCAGCCAGGGATTACTCAAACACAGCAGGGAACAGCCTGTGATCTCCTGCAGCCACCATCTTCCTACTCCCAGTCCTCACCCTGCCTGCTCCACTCACTCACATCCAATAGTCCATCTCAGGTTTCCAATGTTCTTGGGCCAACAGAGCAGAGGTTGGCTCCACTTTCTGCTTAGAACAGTCCCCTCTACTATGCCTAAAGACTTTGGCCCACCCCCCAGGGGAAGAAACTGCAGTCTTCAGCCAGGGTAGGGAAGGGATCATCAGGCTAGGTGGGGCTGAGAGTCTGACTGCTTCTTAAACAGGCTTTACACCAATTTTCTATTTCAGCCCTATTTTTATTGCTGGCCCCATTTTCAGAGTTATATGGTAATGTCATTCCTGAGACTTGGGGATGGGGGGGAACAACTGTTGCAATTCAGTACATTCAACTTCCAGCCGCCCCCTCCCCCCCCCGTCCCAAACACACACACACACACACATGCCTCTTAGCTTTCTATTTTTCAGATCTGCTAGGTTCCTTTGCTTGTCCATCTGCCTTCCAAATTGCCAAATTCTGTCACCTTCTCTCTTAATCTCTTGGTAACTTGTGCCCTTTTAGTGAGTTTTTAAAAGAAACAGAGGTCACTGAGAAATTAATCTCCTATTTTGGCTGAAAAGCAAGGAAGGAAATTTTTTATTTTAAGTTGGGAGCCATCAAGTCATTTTGGATGCTAACAGAGGTGATCTGTCAGTGAGAAGAACCTGAAGCCCAGGAGAGAGGTGGCACAACTTAGGTAGCAGCAAGTCCCTAAGTAAAGGAGAGGGGGCCTGCCCTAGGACACAGGGAGCACTGGGCAGAGAGGTGGGTTGGCAGCATTCCGGATAAGAAAGAGGCACAGTACCAGTTGAGACTGAAATCTGAGAAAGGAAAATCAGATGTACAACCATGGTCTCATAAAAAAAGCAAATCCACTGGAGAGGTGTGGCCAGGGTCAGGGCGGGGATGGATGCTGTGCCAAGGCCCTCGGCCAGTCTGCAGGGCTACATGGTCTCCCCAAAATACCATGCAGTTTTTGTGCCCAGCAGACACTCAAACACAGGAAGGAGTCAGGGGTGTATGTGAGAAAGTGATCGCAGAGCGGCCCTGTGAACTGCAGGCTATGGGCAGCAGGGTCACCAAGAAGGACACAGCAGGAAGGGTCCTCTGAGGGAGGAGTCCCGGTCAGCAAGCTCATCAGCACAGATCTCCTGTCTGTACTCATTTTGGTGATTTTTTAAGTTGTTTTTTTCAAATGTTCCAAAAAATTTCCAATCCTACAGAGAAGCTGTTATCATAATACAATGCAGGAAAAAAAACTGAAAAGCAAAAAACCAATTCAGTACTACAAAGACTAAAAGACTTCAAAGTAAATAAATTTTTCAACAAATTCTCATTATCATTATCTCTTAATTTCCTGCTCTAAATGTAGTCTAAGGCCCAGTCCTGAGTTGGCACAGAAGGGGCTCTGCCACCAGCCAGCTGGGGGAGCCTTGCTTTGTCTAAGCACAGGCCAGAAGTCTGTCTGCAGCTTCACTATGTTCAGATGCCCTTCACCTCAAAGAAAGTGTGGAAAGTTCTCAGAGACGTGCAAATGGAAACTCAAGTTCTTCCAAAGCCACCAGTTCCCTTGGGCATCACCCACTGCAGATGAGCTCTTTACTGGCTCATCCCACTCCCAGAAATCCCACCGGAAGACACTGCAGGGCTCAACCAAGATTGCCAAGGGAAGCAGAGCCGTTTCTGTTCCTGCCAGCTAAGTGCTCCTAATAGCCCCCTCCAAACCTGCAGAAAAGGCCACAGGTGCCCTATAAAAAGCTGGCTGCCTTCACTTAACCAAGCCTCAGGGAATTCCCAGAGTCCCCATTGCAACCCTCCGGAACCACAGTCTTGATGGTTCAAACACATTGTTTGTCTCTGCCTCTCTTCTGATGTGGAACCTACCATGCTGTACACCACAGACAGGGTGGGTAACTTGGCCAGCCTAGTCCACCCTGGCATGCTGATTCACCTCCAGAGCTACATCCAGTCCGAACTCAGGTGAAGGAATTTGGACAACACCAAAGTCTAAGGAGAAAGAGGCCCAGCCCATATAGGACATTGTTTATATGCCTGAGTTCAGGGGCCTTTCCCTTGGGGTTTCTGTGAAAATTAGATTCAGATTTGCACAATTACAACATTGGTCCCAAGCCAGAAGGAATTTGGATGTCCTCTATGTAACAGCTTTAGTCTGAAAAAAGACTCCCTGGTTCCCCACCCCCACACTCAGCCCCCATTCCTTTTAGAGCAAGAGTAGCCTCAGGATGAACCTCTAGGCCCTTGATGTGTGTGTCCCTACTGCCCACTGACCTCATCTCTTGCCTCTGCTCCTCAACTCCATTTGGCTCCAGCCACACTGGCCAGACACATCGCCCAGAGCCTCTGCTCCAGCTCCCCTTGGCCTGGAGCCCTTCACTCTCCAACACCCAAAGGACTCACTCCTGCACCTCCTTCATGGCTCTGCTCAGACGCTCCCTTCTCAGGGCTCGCACTAAGTGACCATTCAAAACTGCATCCAGCACTCCTAAGGCCCTTCCCCTTCTTCGTTTACTCCACAGCAGCATTACCACCTGATACACTGTTACTTATAAGATTTATGTTTCATGACCCTCACAAGGATATAAGCTTAAGGCATTCCAGAAGAGTACCTGGCACATCACAAGCATTCCATAAATACTTGCTGAATAAAGGAAAGAACAAACAAGGTCTTTGTTCAAATAATTTGTTAAGTAAAAACTCTCTTTTTCAAATGTTGGTCTGTATTCAGTTACCCACCAGCCCTAAATACCTATGTGCACGTGCCCCCAACTCCTTGCCACCATCTCCCAAGGGGCTGCTGATGAAGTCACTGCTCTGCTGTAGGCAACAGTCCTTGGAAGGTCAGTGGGCTGTGTCTATATCACCCTCCCACCAGAATGGCTGAGTTCAGCACTCCATGGTGGCCACTTGGGGCTGCCACTGAAATCACTTGATGGGAAGGGCAAACACTGAGTTCAGAGCCCACCTCACATCATCCAAGCAGCTTCCAGTCATCCTACCCCCATGAAGAACACTCGTGCTTGTGAAGTCAGAGCCCTCGGCTCAAATCCCAATCTCACCACTGACCACCACAGTGACATCACCTTCCCGAGCCTTGGAAGTGGGTGGAACAGTACCTACCTCTATGGGGTCCTATGGGGACTGAGCAAAGTATTCAGACCAGCATAGCTAACACAAATCGGGCACTTCATAAACATTAGCTGCTCTTATGACTACATTTGTATTCCATAAAAGACTGCTGAAAATTTTTAGAAAATATTATAAATTTTAGAAAAACAGACCTCTTAAGGATAAATTGAAAAGGAATAATTTCAAGGTAGTTTTGCAAACTGGAGTCACAGCCACAAAGAGGGTATCCACAAGACCTAGACATGCCATCATGGCCACAGCACAAACTCATCACTGCCTGGCTGATGGGCACCGCTGGAACATGGGGCAAAGGCATGTGTCTGGGCAGGAGACACTAACAACTCGCCCTGAGGTCCAGTGCTGGACAGTTTGAGCAGGTTAACTTTGGAGAAGAAAGGTTAATAGAAAAAGAAAAAACTGCTTCTTTTCAACATTGGTTCTGCAAAAGCTAGAAGGGAAATTGTGCATATCACTGGCTCTGCTGTTGCACCCTGACCTGTAACAGGTCCCTCATGTGACATAAAACAGGCCACAATGAAGGGCAGCAAGACACATGGTTTTATATGCAAGCAAGATTTTAAAAATCAACTGACGTAGAAAGAATCACTCAATTTAAAGACATAATCTCTATAAAGGCATTGTAAGAAGCACTACTTACATGGAACCATGTGAAGACCGTCTCTCTTGTAGATAACCCTGTAAACAGGTTAAAAAATTATTATAATTGTAAATCACATGTAGAAAATAATACAAAGAATGCTCTGTCACCTTAGACATAAAACTTCATCAAACCAAAGTAATTTATTTTTAAAACATAATCATAAACCAGTTATTTGGAAAGTCAAGGTAGTTTTCCAGAGAAAGAATTCTATAAAAAGCAGAGTCTAAGCTGAGTCTGGAACTTAAAAGATACCGATAAATGAATGCTCTGAGACCCAGATTTCCCTAAACCCTAACCAGACGAAGGAGGCCTACCTGTGCAAACTTCAATGGCAGGTAAACAACAACACCAGAGCCTTCTTTAGGCAGCCCAAAGACCTCAGTCCAGTGAGGATTGAAGAGGATGGGGGTGTCAGAAACTGTCAAAGGAGGATATCCACTTCTATCCATGACAGAAGAAGAGGAATCGACTATCCCACTTCAAAATTTTGAGAAAAAAGAACCACAACAACAAAAACAGATAAAAGACCTGAGACAGGTGTTCAGACACAGGTCAACAGGCATCATAGGAAAATGATCCCTGAGGGAAAGAACAAAGTGATGCATCCTGATTGCCCAGTCTGAAGTGTGGTGAGAGTTTCCAGGCCACAGTGCGGAAAGTGGGTGGGGTGGTGGGGCAGGTAAAGCAAAGGAAGTCCTGAGAGGAAGAAACAAAGTTGTGATTCAGGGAGGCAATGGAGGCTAAAATGAGCAGGGCAGAGTACCAGAAAGGAGAGGGCCACACAGAGAAGTGTGGGGAGACCTGGAGGGAGGTGGGGGGAGGTGGTTCACTTCAGTCTTCACCTGGACACCAATTAGCACATGTGAGTGAGCAAGCTACCTGCAACCAGAAAGAGCCAACAGAAAAAAAGCAGGGCAACAGGCATTGTAGCTCCCACAGCTCTAGAAATATGTTCACTCCCAACAACCAGACCAGGGAACCTTATGGCACAGGGACCACAGGGCTGAGCTCTTGGAAGAATGTCGCCTCAGCAGAAGGGCCACATTAGCACCAGACAAAACTGGTGTACTAAACTAGAAACTGCCTAACAATGTCCAGGTATATATCCAAAATAAATGAAGGCAGTGAATCAAACAGATACTTGTTCACAGCAACACTATTCACAATAGCCAAAATGTGGAAACAACCCAAATGTCCATCAACGGATAAATGAATAAATAAATTGTGATATATCCATAAAATGGAACATTCTGCAGCCATAAAAATGAATAAAGTACTGATACACACTGCAACTCAGATAAACCTTAAAAACATGATATAAGTGAAAGAAGCCAAACACAAAAGGTCACCATACTATATGATTCCATTTATATGAAACATTCAAAATACATAAATCCACACAGATAAAAAGTAGATTAGTGGTGTCCAGGGGATGGGGAAAGGGAGAAATAGGAAGCAACTACATATTGGATTCTTTGATGTGATGGACAAGTTAAAAAATTCTGAAACTGGGTGGTGGTTACACAATATTGAATGCACTGAATGACACTGAATTGTACATGTTAAAATGATTAATTGCATCTTATGTAAATTTTACTTCAATAACAAATAAGTATCCTATCTAATAAATGAGTAATATGCAAATTAACCACCACTCCATCACAAAGATGGTGGCGCCCATAGCCACAACACGGCAGCACCTAGTCCCTTCAGCCCTGCCGCTGGAATGTTTGGGCCTGTCGGCCCAGGTAGGGGTCACGGGGACCAAGTGGAGAGGCAGGATCCGCCCACTGCGTTAGCGGATCAAGCCTCGCTGCTCTGCCGCCTCTGAAGTGTCTGGGGCCAGCAGGGCCTGCTTGGCCGTCGCTGCGGTGACCCGGGATCAGCCAAGCGCGGCCCAGGAGCAGCCAAGCACAGCCCGCAGGCAGCACTCAGCAGGGTCTGCTTGGCCGTCACCGCGGCGACTGCGAGCAGGCAAGCGCGGCCCACAGGCAGCATCCAGCAGGGCCTGCTTACCCACTGCCGTGGTGTGGAGCAGGCAGGCCCCGCAGAGAGCAGAGAACCATGGGGAGCGGGCCCAAGCCATCAGTAGGACATCCCCTCAGGGCTCCCGGATTCAAGAGGGTGCAGGTCGGGCTGAGGGCCCCCCCACCCTGTGCACAAATTTCGTCCACTGGGCCTCTAGTTAAAATATAATATAACAAGGGAATACTAGAAACTATTGCATGCCAATAAATTTAATAACTTAGATGAAAAAATTAGGAGAATCAAGCTATAAAAACTCACTCAAGAAGAATTAGATAAATCTATATGTATTCAAGAAATTGAATTCAAGCTAAAAATCCTTCCCACAAAAAAAGAGCCAACCACATGGTTTCAATGGTGAATTTTACCAAATATTCAAGGAAAAAATAATACTGATTCTTTACTGACTCATTCTGAAAACTGAATATAAAAGAACACTTCCCAACTCATTCTATGATGCAGCATTAACCTGATACCAAAACCACAAAAAGACACAAGTTAACACATCAATATTCCTCATATAGATGTTAAAATTATTAAATCTTAGTATATGAAATTCTACAATATAAAAAAGCATGACAAAGTGGATTTCAACTAGAGATGCAATTGGTTTCATGGTGTGTGTGTTTTCAAATCAATGTAATTGATTTTTATGTGGATGGACCATATAAACTGACTAAAAAAGAAAAACAAAAAAAGAAAAGAAAAACTATATGATCATCTCAATAGATGCAGAAAAGGCATTTGAAAAAATTCAATATCATGAAAAAATTCTCAGCAAACTTGGAATAAAAGAGCACTTTCACATAAGGGTGAGAGACTGAGTGCTTACCCCCCAAGATCAGGAACAAAGCCAGGATGTCCCCTCTCAGCACTTCCATTACACAAGATGCCAACCACACCAAGTTCATCTATCAATTCAACGCAATATACATCAAAATCAGAGCAGGCTAAGCTGATTCTAAAATCTACATGGAAATATAAAGAGAATAAAACAGCCAAAACAACTTTCAAATAGAGAACAAAGTAAAAGAACTTATACTGTCTTATTTCAAGATAAAGCTAGTCATAAAAATAAATAAACTGGTCAAAGGAACAGCATGGAGAGTCCAAAAATAGTCCACACTTGGTTAACCATGTTTTACATTTTCTGTGTTATGGTTATGCTTTGACATTTGGGCCTTGCTGATCCTGGAAGTCTGCCCTCCTAGTGTTAGCCTATTCCTAGAGATAGGATAAACAATGCATCAGAGTACCTTTCACATGCAAACCACCAATCAGAGCTCACACCCAACCCCTCTGCTATGGGTCCTCATACTATGCCAACCACACCCCCTACTCACTCAGGGCCACGTACCAGATGATCAGGGACAGCCCCTCTGTTCCAGAACCTGCTAGATGATCCAAATCAGTCCATCCTTAGCCTGCTGACCTTGTCTCACCCTTTCCTTCCCATGGAAACCACAATCAATCTCATACCTAGCCTCATCTGCCTCCTAACCAACCCTGGTGCTTCCCTGTGCAGTTGTGCATGGCATAGCGTGCCTTCTATTATTAGGGACCCGTGAGGCTCAACTTCTTTCTTCATGACAGTCCTTTCCTTGTCTGCTGGTCTTACCATTCCTGATTCAAACAAGTCCCATGTACCATTAAAAACTTACATACAAATATGGCCCAACTGATTCTTGACAGATCTCAATAAGGGAAAGCAAATATCACTGTTTTTACCTAAAACTAAACAGGCCATAGCAAAGATCTGACTTCACGAGGAAGACAGCCTTGACTCCAAATTTCTCCAGACTTGGGAGACCAAGTGTCTCATTAACTCACCTCCTGCAGCAGAGTGGATTCAGAGTTCTGTAGTGCCAATAGAAGTCTGGGGTAATTAGAGTTTAAAAGAGCCTCTGCAGGGGGAGAATAGGCAAAGCTGATTCAACTTCATTCCTACCACAGACCCCACCAATGCAATTACTGTTTTGAAGTAATTATACTCTTGGTGATGGTCTCAGCAGGAAAGAAACGAGGTAGCCAGGCAGTTGAACTTCTTTACTCCTCCACCTCAAAAAATACTGTCTTAGATAAGGCCAATATGTGTAGTGGTAATGTGATCAACAAGGCCAATGAATGCAGATGCTGAGAGCCCCTCGCCTGACCTGGGCCTGGCTTTGTCCTACGTGGCGTGCCTGTGCTCTCTGCCCTGGGACAGCAGGCTTTTCATCTTTCCACACTCCCTAGTGCAACTTTCCTTTGCGCAGAAGCTCGGGGTTATGCTTACAGTAGCTGCCACAACCCAGGACGGAGCATTGTTTGTTTCATTTACTATTGAAGATATATCATACTCCACGTGTGTGAATACAGATATGCACACCCATGTTTCAATCCTTTTGAATAATATTGAACTTAATACACTATCAACTTCCAATAGCTTATAAAATAATTTTTGTATCAATCACACACATGGACTTATTAAATTAAAATGTTAAACCTTATTATTTTTACATTCTTAGTTTTCTGAGTGGGTCACTCTCGTTGGCAGAATCAGACAAGGAAAATCTGTTTGGCCTCTCACCAGGGGATTGAAGCTGCCTAAAATATATCTACTAGACTTTTTAGACAACCCCCTGAATAAGAGTTTTTTCAATCAGTGATAGAGAATTAGCTCTGCACACGCCTTCCTGGGACCTCCCCAAGAGCAGGTTGTCAACCAGTGCCAGGCCCTGGCAGGGGCAGCAGGTGAAGTGCTCAGTCCCTGTTCTTTATGATGAGTGTGTGTCCTGCAATTCTTGGTGTCTAAAGTTTGGAAAGTGCAGAGAGAGCAAGAAATATATTTAAAAGCACCTCCAATGTCCAGACAGAAGCACTGACAGCAGTAGAGTATATTTTCTTCTAGTAGTTCCTCATTATAAAATTTAGATATTTTTAAAACAAAATGAGATAGATCACATGTGCTTTCAAAACAATATACTATATCCAAATCTGTATATTTGTAGAAAATGTCCATAACAGCTTG